GATCGTCCCATGTCGGTGGGTCGACGAATGGGTGTCGTCCACCGGTCCCGAGTTCCATGGGCGCCGGGCCACTTGGCGAGTCGTCAAGGGCAATGACACCCATCTGCCCGTCGGTGTCTTCGCCTACAATGCGGCAGAGGGCGACCGCAAGTGCCGCAATCAATGATGGGACTCCACCGGAAGACATCGGGAGGCAGGCGTGGGAGAACTGCCGCCTACACATGCGGCGTGCTGCCACGGAGAACATAACCACAGGTGTGTCCAGGCTTCTTGTGGGGAGGGACGTGGATGCGGACGAAAGTCGTCGGGCGAGTGGGACGAGTCTTCGGATTCCCGTTACGAAGAGGACGCGGAAGACGGTGAGGGGCTGGAGCTCCGACCCGTGGCTGCGCGTGGTGGACGGAGGGGAGGACGCGGACGTCAGCAGAGGGGCGAGCCGCGTGGTGGCCGAGGATCGAGGGCTCCTGTGGGCGACAAGGGTGGCAAGCACCCAGCTTGGAGTGTGGAGGAGATGCTGAAGCTCGCTCGAGCGAAGCGGTATCAGCAAGCTCATTTCGAGGGAATGCCACACAACTATGGCCGCATGCGCAACAGGGAGTGGAAGTTGCTGGACCTGCAGAAGCGGCTGGCGGAGGTCGGAGTGGACAGGACAACGGACGACATAGGGAAGAAGTGGGACAACGTCTTCCAGCAGTACAAGAAGGTGCAGCGTTACCAGAACATGTCCGATGGGAAGAACTTCTTCACATTAACTCCTGCAACGAGAGCGGACAAGGGTTTCAACTTCCGAATGGATGAGCGAGTCTTCAATGAGATCGACAACATGTCGAAAAATAACAAGACCATCTACCCGGACAACGTGGCAGACACGAGCGCACGCGGAGGAGTGTCGGCAGCAATGGATGGTCACCGCCAGGCGGCCGTTGGTGGAGAGTCCTCTGCTGGTGGAGAGGGGGGTGATGGTGTTGACGAAGATGCGGGGTCAGCGCGGGAGACGGGGTTCAGTGCAGGGAGCACGGACACTCCAGCGAAGAGGAAGAACATGCGGCAGCAGACCTTCGACGCCATCGCCGAAGTCATGGACAAACACAGTTCATTGATGGGGGACATGGTAGAGGGTGCGAGCAAACGGCAGTGTAGCATCCTGGAGCGGCAGTGTGACATCCTCGACCGGGAGGTTGAAGCCCAAAAGCGCCAGTGTGACATACTGGAGAGACATCACACGGCGTCCGATGAGGCGAACAAGATGATGTGCACGGCGTTGATGGAGATTGCCAGAGCGATAAGGGATAGATCTTGACGCCGGTGGCGTGAGGTTTGTCAAGCTGTTGAAGTGGAATCGCCCGCCATCTGGCCCGTCGGGAAATGTGGTGTCGGTCCTCCGAACGACGACATAAATCTAGGAAACAAGGCGGGGGATGGTGTGCGCGATGGCCGTGTACCCTCACGCGGTTCGAAATGTTGAGTCGCTGGCTCTCCAGGGCAGGGCCGTCCATTCCCCGAACCGCATTGTCCCTGGGTATTTGGGGTGGTCTCCCCCCATGCGAAATGGGTGATCGTCGCTGTCGTCGCGTGGAGGGGTGTGTTGGAGGCCGTCCGGGCGGGATCTATGCGCCGAGGGAGGGGAAATGTCACCGCGAGTACTATAAAGGTCCGCGCGAGCGCTATCTTCTCCCAGTCTTTTGCTTCTCGTCTGCGCGCAAGGCCACGCGTGGGGTTCCCGTTGTGCTGCGCGGGGAGCTGAACATCGCCCGCGCAAGACGATCCCTGGCGACTTCCTCTCGTGCGCTGCGGTAGTCCATTTTCGTTCACGGGGCGTGCACATCCGACCGTCAGCGAATGGCACCACGTGGCCAGCAGAAGGCGAAACGTCCACACGGTGGTTCCGGCGAAGCGGGTACAGGGCAAACAGGAAGGGGCCACATCCCAAAGTCGAAGAAGCTCCGCGCGGGAGACGGGTCAGAAGGAGAGATGGGGGATGACAGGGGAGAGGAGGAGACGCCTATGGACATCACTTCTAAAGGGATGCCTGTGCTCGGGTTCGGGCGTGACGGTATAAGCAGGCAGCGTATACTTGCGCTCACCAACCTTGGCGTCCCGACGTCCACGCGCGGCGGCGGTGGCGGGACGGCTCGTGCGCAAGGACTTTCGTCCAGTGACATTCCGCCGCAGAGGGCCGTGGGTTCTGCATCCACCATCGCATCCGTGTCCAAGCGCGGCGAAAAAGCTCCGGTAGGTGAGTCTCCATCGCGCCACGTGGAGGCGTCGAACCCGACGATCGTCGCCGCTTTGTCGAGGGATGTGCTTCAATCCGCGCAAGCAGCGAGCGCCGCTGGCCATGCCGCCGCCCTCGGTGTTGGAGAAAGGCGAGAAGATAGGAGGGTGGAAGAGGCGGGGAGAAAACAGGAAAGGAGGGAGGAGACTCCGCGCGGGGAAGAAGAGGACAACCAGCCTTTGAGCGCGAGGAAGAAAAGGTCCCGCCAAGAGGAGTTGGAGACGAAATCAAAGCTGTGGGTAGACGGCAAAGCGTTCTGGGCAACCGGGCCCGGACGGATGATCGCGGACGCGGTGCATTCTTGCGCGGACTACTTCTGCGCGATCGTCAATGGAGATGCAGGCGCCAGCGTTCCGCAAGGCCTCATGATGCCGCCCCCCGAAGTCCCGCGCGTGCGGATCGAAGATGGCGTGCAACGAGAGCCAGCTCTCAGACGGGCGAGACGAACGGAGAACATGGCAATGCGCGTCATCCACGGGTGGATATTCAGGTCGTCGTCAAGGTTCGATGGTTTCGCCCGTGCGGAGTCCTACGTCGCCACAGATTACCCCACCGACCTGGCGAGAGCAGTTTGGCAGAGCTTCAAGTGGTCGAGGATAGTGCCTCCCGCCGTAGTTTACCACACAGTCGCTTTGAAGATGGACATCCCAGTGTGGTTCCCCGGGGCATATATCGAGAATAGGCCGGAGGACGATGACATGGCCGCGCACCAGGAGGCGACTGTGATGCATATTGCGTCATGCTTCTACGACGTGCTCCGGGCCGGGTAGTGGTGGGACGGCGGTAGATTGTCACACCAGAGACTGAGCAGAATCGGGGATGCTTTCGGCCTGCTTCTCGCCGCGTGCATGTGGATCATGCGCATGGGAGGCGACGATGCGCGCTCCTACGACGAGGCGTTTTACTACAAGCAGTTGGTGGCGAAGCCGACTCTCGTGGCGGCATGTTCATCATCCTTCAACTGGCGCCGCCATGTGATGCACTCGGCGAACGTGGTCTTGACTCACCTGCGGAAGCCACCCTTGACACTGGGCGCTTTCCCTAACTGCATCCCGGAGTGGGCTTCGTGCAGAGTGCGGTACAACTGCAACGCTGGTCTGGCGGACCCCGACGTCGCGGCGAGAGCGGACTGGATGGGGACGGGACCTTTTGAAGCCGATCGGAAGGAGGACGGGACAGATGACGAAACGGGAGCGTAAGTGTCCTCAATATGGCCGTCTTGCGTGACAAGGAAGAAGGTATCGCCCATGTAGTGAAGCGGTCTGTCAGCAAGGTTTCGACATGGCGGGAAATGGAAGTGCCGGATCGACGGGGGGTGGATTGGACGGGGGGGAAGGGAAGGGGGGGTGGGGGGTGGGGGCACATGGATGTTCAAAGTCGAGGGATGACGACGACGACCGCAGATGGTTTGCATGCATTGACGCGTTTCGCCACGAGAGGGTCCCTTCGTAGATTGTGTTCCTGTTTCGCCCCGCTGCACGCGCGCAGTGTCTCGTCTCCCAAAGGCGCTTGGTAGTTGTTAGCCGACCTCCGACAGAGGTCAGCTTTGTAAGGTATTGGAAGGTGCATTGTGAAGTCAGTGCGATGGTTGGTCTGCGCCAAGAATGACGAGCGGCGCCTTTTATTGTTATTTTTTGAAAACGACAGTCCGATGTCGATAGGGTTTCACGAGTGTGTTCATACAAGTTGGACGGAGTCTAGCTATGGAACGGTGTGTCCCATTGGAATGTGATGAAGCGTTTCCTCAAATCTCTCTTTCTCGTGATTGGTATGAATGTCGTTTTCTTCGTGATGATTCGTTTTTTGTTTGGAACGGTCGTTGTTTGCCACTGCGATGGCAATGATGATCATCTGCGAGTGTGTTAATTCGACCTAGCCCAGCAATTGAACGGTGTGTCCCGTTGGAATATGACGATGCGTTCCCTCAAATCTCACTTTTCTTCGTGCTGATTGGGTAATTGTTTGGAATGATCGTTGGTTTCCAATGGGATGATACGTATGATCTACGCACCTCAGGATGGACAGCTTTGCCGGCAAGCCGATGAAATGATCCAATGATCGGTTGATTGGTTGCCCGCCAGACTCGTCCAAGCCAGGGTGTGATGCTCCGCGAGGTCGTGCATTTCTTGTGGACTGGGTTTCAGATTGTTGATGAAAGCGCATTGTGAACTGCGCAGAAAAAAACAAACCGCATTCACGCTCCAGTGGTCCTGAGGAGACAACAGATCAATGGAAGGCGCACACATCGCCCCTAACATACAAACCGCAACACGAAAAAAAAGAAAAAGAAAAAAAAAATTGAAAGAGGAAAAAAAAACATTTCGATTGCAATCACATACACGAAATCACCGCATCTTCAGCACCGATAGACGCACACACGCAGCCGGAACTCCACTCCAAAGTACACATTTGAAAAAAGGAGAACAAAAGCGAGTCACCTCCGGACTGATTACCCCGCCGACAGACACCGTCTTCTTCGAAAACGAAATCGCGCAGCTGCGCGCACTCACTCACAACAAACCGCATCACCGGGCGCCAAAAACCTACTACAAAATGCTCAAAAAAAAAAAAAAATTGGAAAAGAACTGCGGATGAACAGCGTCTCCGATGACGGCTCCGCGACACTAGCGATCAATGACAACCCGCACTGAACGACCTCCACAAGGACGGCAGAGCCACGTGCCGTCGACGCGGTGCGCGCCTTCATGCATGTTTCATTTGCTCCGCCAACACCTCGCGTAGCGCCAACGCACGGGGCCGATTGAAGTTCTCAGCAATGGGGTGGGGTGGATGATCCAACCCCAAGTCCACTCGCCGCCGCATGCCATTAGCATCGACCTCCCACAGCAAGTTGTCGTCGAACTCCATGCCAGTGTCAAGGAGGATGTTGTGCAGAATGCACACGGCCCGGAACTGTTGTGGGAGAGTGTCCATATTCGTCTTGTGTGTGCGGAGGAACAGCCTCCACATCCCTTTCAATCTCCCGAAAGCTCTCTCCACTGCTCCCCTGGCGACCTTTTGCTTGTTGTCGAACCTCTCCTCGTCGGGGATTTGATCGGTCCCCCCGTACGGCACAACAATCCACTCCAGCGGCGGATACCCGTTGTCGCCCAGAATGTAACCGTGTGTCGTCACTCCGAACGGCAGCACAACAGGAGCTCCACAAAAAAGATCCCCCTCCTCCGCACCCGCCCACAGATTGGAGAGCTGAAGCACCCGAATGTCATGGCAGCTCCCTGGGTAACCGACGAAAACGTCCGTGATGCGCAAGTCCAGGTCCACCGCCACCTGCGCTACAACAGAGAAACGATGCTTCCGGTCGTAGTAGTTCTCCGAAGGAGCGTTCGCCGGTTTGTCGACGTAAACATGCGTGCAGTCTATGCAGCCATAGCAGTAGGGAAAGCCCTTCGCCTCGAAGGCACGCAGAACGAGCGTACGACGCATCCCAGTAGGCCATACGATCTTGTCACTGTACACCCTCAGGAGCGCCCTCGTAACGTCCTCCACTGCGATCAACCCGGATGCGCGCCCTATTCCGAATGACGACGTGCTGCTCTCGTATGTCTCACCGCTCGCCCATCAGTACAACGCATATGCGATGATGTGATCCGACTGCAAAGGAACCCTGTAGAATGTCACCCGCCGCTGCAGGAGAGGAGACAACGCCTCCACGATCTCCATGAACACCCTGGGGGTCATCCTCAACTTTTCCTTGTAGTAGTCGTCTGTGGCGTCGTCCATCTTTCGCAGATCCTCCCACGTGCCACCCGTCCTTCTCCGCATCCACCACCTTGGAGTCGCCCGCGGTATCGCCCCGAATGACATGGCGGCGCAGAACTGGGTAATGGATTTGGACATGGACACGCAGTCTGGCGCCGCCATCACGTGGTGGAGGAGCTCACGCTGCCTGCGGATAGACACTCTCGTCCTCAACCGCGCCGTCGTTCTCTCGATGCGACATCGCATGGCCACCGCCGACACTGCTGCAACCACCGCATTTCTCTCCACCCTGCTCAAGGTCTTGCCACGAACCTCCTGCGAACCGTGTTCCATCACGATGCCCCGACGGCGCCTTGTTCAACAACCACAACAGACGGACGACTGGACCCTCGTCACACACTGTCCCAGCGGACGTTGGAGTGGACCCTCGTACACGAATGACGGGCGCGTGAAGCTATGGCGAGCCACTGGATCGTCGTCTGCAGGAAGACGAAGGCGGGACACACACCACTTCACGCGCTCCAACGTCGTCACCTTTCGCGCCGCGCCGGCTGACGATCGGATGAACGAGTCGCCAACAGCGATGGGCACCGCAAATCGTCCGCGCACACGTTTCGCACACTGGTAGCTCCAGGGGTGGTGACGCCACGGCGCGCCTTTACCTCAGCTGGTGGTTTGAAATTCGAATTTTGAAAAGGAACCTTCGCGCCTCTTTTCACAGCGAAGCATCGCGGGCCTCCTTGCGCCGCCAGTGGACCACGCCCGACGACGGACGGACATCCCTCGACGACGACGGACATCCTCTCCCGCGGCCTCGCATATGCGTATGAAATTGGCCGCGGGATACCTCCAAGGTTTTTCCTTGGGACCCTTTCGTTTAGGACGCGGTGTAACGACGCCGCCGAATTCCTTGAAATTTTCCAAGGACTTCGTCCTAATTCCTGAGGATTTTTCAAGGAGGGTCTAACGAGGCCCTTGGTCCGTTTGGCCTACCTTAGGTGGGCCCAATGTGGTTCGGCAAGTCAGGCTTGGGCCAGATAATAGCTTCGTGAAGTAGGCAAAAGTAATTGTGGTTAAAAAAAGAAGGAACAGTGGAGCTTTATGGGCTTTTCCAAAAGTAACAAGTACTAGCAAGAAAAATGAGATAGATGAGAGAAGAATATAGCGGCATTATAGCCTTACAAAAAAAAAAAAAAAAAGTAACTGTTGGAAAAGCCCATAAATAGAGTGGTCATAGGAATGTAACTGGACCAACAGGCTTAGGACCGCATACTTACATTAGGAATTTCCCGAATGGCTTTTCCGACCTGCCCTGGATGCAGCTGACTGGAATTAGGACTTTCCGGGATGTCTACCACAGCTTTTTCAACCCGGTCTGGATGCACCTGACTGGAATTACTTCCTACAGAGAGCTGGAAAAAAGTATTAGTTCGCAGCCAAAGGCTGCGCCTTAACTGGTACTAGCTGTTTTTGTCGTGTAGTGTGTTCGCTTTTTCGGGAAGGTAGATGACTGCCAACCGGGGTTTACAGGGCGTCTACAGGTGTCGTGGAAGGTTGACCTGTGGGTGCAGAGAATGGAGGTCGTTTGCGGCACAAACGTGGCACAACGGCGGTTGGCGTCCTGCAGGCATCGCATATTTCCTTTTTGGGACTCCGAGGAAGGGGCAAGGGAAAAGGGGTGAGAGGGCGAGGTAGCGGGAAGAACGAGCCGCGCACATCGGCTGGATGGGACAGGCGTTGTGCCCCCTGTGTTTTTTTTTTGGGCGGTCGGTACAGTTGTTGTTGGGGCGGTTTTGTCCGCGGGTTTGTGGAATGAATCTACAAGTGTGGCAGTGTGTATTTCCATGTTCTACCAGAAGTTTCATTCAATTTTGCTCATCCTATTGATGGAAGTAGCACGAGACCAGCCGCAAGGTTGGAGCATGTTCTCTCTCTCTCTCTCTCTCTCTCTCTCTCTCTCTCTCTCTCTCTCTCTCTCTCTC